GCCCCCCTGAAAAATGAAATCGCCCCCTGGGGGGCATTATCGCCCACATTAAGAACCACTGCTCCAGACCATGCAGGCAATATAGCACATACTTCTGCTAGCCCCATATACCTGGGTAGTCTTGGCTGGGAGACACAGTGAAGATTCAAATTCCCAGCCTCTAGTTCTGCAGTCAGATAATCTCTCACACTGACTGTACCAGCTCTATAATGTCTCCATATCTGGTTGCAGTTCAGAGCGCAAGACTATCTATTGGTCATGTTTGACCAATAGATTATGGTAGTTGTATATGTTTAATGGTTCTTTGGTTTTGTTTTTATATTTGTTGATGAAGACAGAACTGTGTTGCGTTCACCAGAAAAAGGAAATGGGAAAACTGGGCCTCCAGTCTCAAGTACAGAGCATTTTGGGAAAAGCGTATCTTCTCCAAAGCGAAGTAGAAGAAAGAAGTTACCACTCCCACCATCAGACAGGAGCCCTATAATCGATGCATTTTTCAAAAGTGCTAAATCAGAGAAAAAGGATAGTCCAGATAATGGTGTTCATATTTCAGTGAAATCTGCGTATCCAAAAATTGTGGTTCGGAAACTTTTCATCCCTGCTAGTTCATCTGACTGTTCTTTAATATTAAAAGATAGTGCTTGCACAAAAACCCTTGAAAGGAATGAAAAACATCCTGTTCAGACAAGAACACCATTAGTTGATATTAGTAGAGAATGTAAAATGGATCTTGTGGATTCAGACTCAGCTGGTTCAGGCTTGAGTAAATGGACCTCTGTATCAGAAAATGACAGCTTGGAAAAGGAGAGCCTTACAACTTGGTGCCAAAAAACAGCATGTTCCAAGACATTACAGTATGGTTTGGTTAGTTCTTCATCTCAGAGATCATTAGAAACTGTTTATGGAGAGATACAAGTCAAGAAGAAAAAGATGCAATCTCAGCAGCAGTCGTCTGGTTTGCTAAAGAAGTCCTTGCAAACTATTCTTCCTACCCAGGTATGTTAAAGATGTCGTAAGTATCAGATCTATGAAGCTCCTTAATCATATGACATTCCTAACCTTTCCTGACATAAGTGTAATTTCTTGTTTTAGTCAATCCATAATACTGTAATTCAATATAAACTGCAATATGTGCGTGGTTTTTAGTATTCTGAACTCTGGGGCACCTTTACTTAATCTCAGTCTTGAAATCTGAAAAAAAACAGGTCTGCATCAACTGTATTTTAATCAGCATTGCTGGTTTCTTTCCAGTCCAAGAGTAATCAGCCTTAGTTCTCTCAAGATTGCTGTGCTCTCTAAGACAGGGGTCCCCATCCCCCGGTCTGTGGCCTGGTGCCAGTCCACAGGCTTCCTTGAACTGGGCCACGGACACAGATCTCTGCCCCCCCACATGCACAGTGGGCATGTCACACTTGTGAGGTGGGCATGTCGCACTTGCAGGTGGGTGTGTCGTAACAGTGGTTCTGTCTCCATTGCAACTAGCTAAACAGAAAATTCTGATCTCCCGCTATCCAGAGTCATTCAGCGCTTCCTTATAAAGGCAGATAATACTTTACTACAGAACTCTGGTGAGAAAATTCTTATTAATGAGAAGTCTTATGTGGAGGTTGTTGATACCACATCCTGATGTGGTTCCTAAAGAGCAAATACTTCTAGATCAAGCTGTTACTGATAGATAGGGGGTTCTGATATAACATATACGAAGTACAGTGGTGCCTCACAGAACGAGCGCCCCGTAGAGCGATGAATTCGCTCTACGTGACGCTTTTGCGATCGCTAATGCGATCGCAGAGCGATGCCCCCAATGGGCGAAAATCGCAGAGCGAAGGTCGATAAGCGGTTCGCTTACCAACCTTCGCTTTGCGACCCGCCGATCAGCTGTTCCGCGGCTTCAAAATGGCCGCCGGAACTGCCGAAAGGGCCGGGTGCAGCAATTAAACAAACAATTAAAAACGCTGTTGTATAAGCGGGCCTTTCCAACAGAAAACTCCTGACGAT